ATCTTGTATCACTCATGTGATCCTACTTAGAAGGTATCACTGGAGCTATTAACCTTGGCTGCCCCAGCCCTGGCAGAGTTGTGGAAATATTCTTCTACTGATCTAGGCTCCAATTTAATCTAGTGGGATCATTTTCTCACTCACTATGGGAGTGTCTGAAACTTGATCCTGTTTTAGTTGAACTATTCATGAAGCCTCTCAGTGTGGGAGTGGGGAAGGGAGAGAGCTACCAAACACTCTACTCTGTAAGAGAGGGTTGAGGAGAAGAGAAGAGTCTGCCAAGAGATGTACTTGAGTAGGAGGAGACTGCTCTACAGATAGCGAGCCTTGAATGTCATTCTCTCAAAAGGTAAATAATTACCCATATTGCCTTCCTGGTGAAGTTTTTACCAGAATAATTCCAACAATTCTTCTAGGTTTAATAGCACATTTCTACAAGCTTGGGAAATGCTAGGGAAATGCCTGAGAGAAATAAAGAACTTTTTGTTTTTAGCGTTTTCGTTAGGGGGAAAGTGAAACTTTCATCTGAGAGGGGATGTCTTAGGCATAGTCTTGTCTTGAAGCAAGTGGCTGGGGGAGGGGGCAGCAGGGGGCTTCTATTGGTCCTATTAGCTATAGGATGTCTTTGATTTGAAGATTACATATAGTAAGAGAGCTTTATTATTGTATTTCTTCATCATCACCTCTCCCTTCAAACTAAACTTATGGCCAGGAGAGAAACGTTGGGTCTTTTTTTTTTTTTTAAGTTTCTTTGTTTTGTTTAAGAAACATAAAACACTGCAGATGGAAAAAACGTAATTTGGGAAGAGAACACAAGGAAAGGAAGGGGTGATCAATCTTTCTGGGAAGGGTTACGTAAAAGAGGAACTGACTTTGCTGCTGATTTGTAAATGCTGTTATTCCATTTCCTACTTTAGCAGAACAAATTTTTACATAAACTTATAGATTGATGTCCAACCTCCGTTCCCCTACTCTAGTCCTGAGCAGGGCTACTATTCATCTCAAACAAAGCAGCAACCTTCAGAGCTACTAAAAAAATTCTAGCAGAGGTCTTTTCTTTGGAAAACAAATTTTGGATCTACTATTTTATCTGTCATTTGTATCTGTCAAGAAAGGCTATTAAGCCCTGGCCAGTTTGGCTCAGTGGTTAGAGCGTTAGCCTGCGGTCCAGAGAGACCCGGGTTCGGTTCCCACTAAGGGCATGTACCTCGGTTGCAGTTTGTCCCCGGCCCTGGTTGGGTCGTGTGGGTGGCAACCACTCGATGTGTCCCTTTCACATCGATGTTTCTCTCTCTCTCTCTCCCTCCCACTCCATCTGAACAAAAAACGGAAAAATGTCCTCAGGTGAGGATAAAAAAAAAAAAAAAAAAAAAAAGAAAGGCTATTAAGCCCAAGAGGTCTTGGAAGAAAGGAAACAATCTAAGGCTCCAATAATTTTTGTGATTTTTTTTTTTTTTTTTTGCCATACTAAGGTAAAACTTTTAATTTGGTTTTGTATTCAAAATCTAGCACTCTTTTTCTTAAATAGAGCCCCTCAACTTGTATAAACTTCAAGTCTTGTAAAACCTAGACCTGATTCCTACATATGAAAATAAAAGTCAAGAATATACATGGCATACTTGGAACCAAAACAACATCAGCTTTTTTCTTTTTTTTTCTTCTTTCAATAAGAATGTATTTTAGCCCGGCCGGTGTGGCTCAATGGTTGAGCATCGACCCATGCACCAAGAGGTCACCAGTTTGATTCCCAGTCAGGGCATATGCCCAGGTTGTGGGTCAGACCCCAGCGGGGGGCATGCAGGAGGTAACCAATCGATGTTCTCTCTCATCGATGTTTCTATTTCTCTCTGACTCTCCCTTCCTCTCTCTCTAAAATTAATAAAGAAAAAAATGTATCTATATTTTTAAAAGAATGTATTTTACATTTTGAAGGGGAGGGAGGAAAGATATCAGCCTAACAGGAGCAAAATTAGTCTATTAGAATTTGGCATCTATGAGTGAGAAGTTTGAATAAGTAAAAGGAGTAGGAGAATCAAGATGACTTGATGTTTTCAATTTCCAGATATAGAAGGTTTTGTCAAATACTATTAGTCTGTAGTATTTGAGGCTGTTGGCAAACCCCCTCCTTGAAATACTCTCATCTCTTCAATTTCATGACTCTACACTCTTCAGGTTTTCCTACTCGTAACTATTCCATCTGTATTTCTTTGACCTCTTTCCTCCACCACAAATGCAGACATTTCCTTGTTTCTAATTCTCCTTTGGCCATCTCAGCTACTCCCTATGATTTCAAATGTCCTATCCTTGGGTGACTCTGAGTGCTAAAAACCTTGCTCTTCTTTACTCTTAACCTTCAGTCCCATATTGCTACCTTCTGAGCAAGCCACACCTTTAAACTCAACCTACCCCAAACTGAAGTCATCATTGTCCCTTTAAATACCTGCTCTTCCTAAAATAAATAACTCTATGAATGACAGAATTTTTCTTTCAGTCATCCAAATATAAGCCCCAGAATTTTCTTTTTTTTTTCTCCTTTTTTCCTCCCTTCATGCATCCATATATAATTTATCATAAATAACTTAATTACTATATGTAATAGATATTTTATCATCAATACAATAAACTATTTTTATATTTGTCCTACAGAGACGTATTTTCTCTAGGATATAATCAAGTAGGATCACCTCTTGAAACTTAGGATTTCATCTCTCCCTTTTTTTAGGCTTTAGCTTTCTCTTGACCTTGTGTATGTATCAAGGTTGGGAGATTAGAGTTAAAGGAATGTAATTTTTTGTTGCAGTATTTACATTGCTAAGGGAGACTACTTTTCTGTCCCCCTTCTCTTGCCTTAGCCCCAGAATTTTCTTTATCACTTCCTTCTTCCTCCCACTATATGTCCATTTAATTTATAAATCTTGTCAAATCCTCTTTCGCAGCTTCACATCCATTCCTTCCTTTTTGTTACACACTCAGTTATCTTCGTTTACACTCTTGTTAGCTCTTGTTGACACTGCTACAAGCCCTTCTCATTATTTTCCAACCTATGATATCTGTTATTTCCTGTCTCCAGAACCTTTTACATACTGTTATCAGTTATCATCCTAAAGTATGGCTTACTTACCTTATTTATTTACCTTCTTTCATTCAACAAGCATAAGTTGTGTATGCATAATGTGCCAGGCTCTGATATAAATTCATTCATTCATGTAAGTATACCAGCCCTGCCTAGGCCCTGAAGCTATGCTATGAATGTAACAGACAACACTTAGAGCTTACATTCCAGTTAAAGTCAATGGGATACATAGTAAGATACAGCCCCTGCTCTCAAGGCATTTGTCTATTCAAAATTCTTCTGTGGTTCTCCTGGTCCTAGAAGAATAAAATTCAAATTCCTTTTTTTGTTTGTTTGTTTGTTTGTTTGTTTTTATCCTCACCCGAGGACATTTTTGCATTTTTTGTTCAGACAGACCAGGAGGGAGAGAGAGGAAGAGAGAGAGAGAAACATCGATGTGAAGGGACACATCGAGTGGTTGCCACCCGCACGACCAACCAGGGCCGGGGACAAACTGCAACCGAGGTACGTGCCCTTAGCGGGAACTGAACCCAGGTCTCTGTACCGCAGGCCGACGCTCTAACCGCTGAGCCAAACCGGCCAGGGCTGTTTGTTTGTTTTTTAATATTTTTTCCTTTATTGATTTTTAGAGAGAGAGGAAGGGAGAGGGAGACAGAGATAGAAACATCGATAAGAGAGAACACAGATTAGCAGCCACCTGCATGCCCCCCACTGGGGATCAGGCCCACAACCAGAGCATGTGCCCTAACCGGGAATTGAATCAGTGACCTCTTTGTGCATGAGTTGACGCTCAACCACTGAGCCACACCGGCTGGGCTAAATTTCAAATTCTTTACCCTGACTTTCTAGGTTCATTATGTGCTTATCTCAAGCAATAAAAGTATATCAAGATGAATAATCTTGAGTTTGCATGGATCTTATATTCTGTATTGGGCACCACATTTTATTTGTTTATTTATGTTCTTTGTAGTCTGTTCTTATTTATTTGTTACTCCTAGAAAATCTCATTTTTGACTGAACTCAGACTGAGAGGTAGAAGCTCTCAGAGAGAACAGCCTACGTCTCTTGGCAGTCTGTTCCTGGCATTTTTCTTTTTTCTTTTATCCTCACCCGAGGACATGTTTCCATTTTTTGTTCAGATAGAGTGGGAGAGAGAGAGAGAGAAACATCCATGTGAAAGGGACACATCGAGTGGTTGCCACCCACATGACCCCAACCAGGGCCGGAAACAAACTGCAACCGAGGTACATGCCCTTAGCGGGAACCGAACCCGGGTCTCTCTGGACCGCAGGCCGACACTCTAACCGCTGAGCCAAACCAGCCAGGCTGTTCCTGGCATTTTTCTTTGGCCTCCTTCATTTTCTTAGCCAAAAGTTTAGCATATCCTGCTGACTTTTTCTTATTTTTCTTAGTACACTGTTTCTTTAGACTTGCAGTGGTTCTTGACCTTCTTAATGCCGCAACCCTTTAATACAGCTCCTCATGTTGTGGTGACCCCCCAACCATAAAATTATTCTCATGGCTACTTCATAACTGTAATTTTACTACTGTTGTCTTAGGCGACCCCTGTGAAAGGGTCCTTCGACTCCAAAGGGGTTGCGACCCACAGGTTGAGAACTGCTGCAGAGCAATCCGCTAACATTTGTATTATAGGACACATGGAGTAACAGGACGCTGAATTTTGGATCTTTGGTCCTCGCTTTCTTACCTTCTTTGTTTAGGGGCTTTCTCACAACATATTGGCTGTCATCATCTTCTTAAGAGATTGAAGTTTGCAAATTCTGCTAGCTCTTTGGGTCCCAGTTGACAAGGCACAGTAAGACCAGGAATATCTTTTCCTCCTTTTTTTTTTGCAATGACCAAGTTGAGAATATTGAGATTGGCATTAACGGTACAACTACCAAACAGATTTGTGCTTTTTCTCTAGTTCTTCTTGGTCTACAAGGAGCAAGTAACATGGTCATGGGTCAAGACACCCTGCTTCCTGGGAAAACCTTGTTTGTTGTTCTCACCACTAATTCAAACCACATAAATCTTCCATTCTTCACCGAGAGCATCAGCAGCAATTTCTGTGGCCATACGCTTCTCATAAAAGGTACCAAATTTGTATTCATCATCTACTTCAATGTGTTTCTGGCAGCCAGTGGCTGGGAAAGAGATATTCAACTTCATCCTGAAGCAGCCAATCACCTGCAAGGTGCCACAAAAGAGAGCTGGGCACCACATTTAAAAAAGGATATAGACAGCCTGACAGGTGTGGCTCACTGGTTAAAGGTCAACCCATGCACCAAGAGGTCACTGGTTCAATTCCCTGTCAGGGCATGTGCCCAAGTTGTGGGCCCAAACCCCAATGAGAGGAATGCAGAAGGTGGCCAATTGATGTTCTTTCTCATTGATGTCTCTATCTCTCTCCCTTGCCCTTCCTTTCTCTCTAAAAATCAATACAAAAATTATTTTTAAAGGATGTAGACATACTAGGCTCTCTTCAGTGGAAAAAGACTTGAGTGATAGAAAGACTATATCCTCTGAGAAATGATAAAATGATTAAAGAAATAAATCAACAAATACTTGATAGCTATATTCAGATCTTTAAAATCTGTGTATGGAAAGATAATGTGTTACTCTATATGGTCCTAAGTTAAAAGTAGAGCAGTACTAAGGAGGCAGATTTGGCTCAATATAAAGAATATTTTAAAACATGGACCTTAGGAAATAGCCACTACCTAGCCCATGAAGGCAACTGAGAAAATCACTCAAAAAAATCTTAAAGCTGCCCTGGCCGGTTTTGCTCAGTGGTTAGAGCGTCAGCCTGCAGTCCAGAGAGACCCGGGTTCGGTTTCCGCTAAGGGAATGTACCTCGGTTGCAGTTTGTCCCTGGCCCTGGTTGGGTCATGTGGGTGGCAACCACTTGATGTGTCCCTTTCACATCGATGTTTCTCTCTCTCTCTCTCCCTCCCACTCTATCTGAACAAAAAATGGAAAAAAATGTCCTCGGGTGAGGATAAAAAAAAAGAGAAAAAGTTAAAGCGGAACCTTTTTTTTATTGTCACCCGAGGACATTTTTGCATTTGTCTTCAGATAGAGCAGGGGCGGGGGGGCATCAATGTGAGAGAGACCCATTGACTAGCTGTCACCCACACGTTGGGCTGGGGATGAACCACAACCAAGGTACGTGCCCTTAGTGGGAACCAAACCCAGGTCTTTCTGGTTTGCAGGCCAACGCTCTAACCACTGAGGCAAACCAGCCAGGGCAAACAGGGCCTTTTTAGAAATGATCAAAAAAAAAAAAAAAGAAATGATCAGAAGGCTGATACAACAAGATGACTTTTAATGGTTCCTTCCAAGTATGAGATTCTGTGATTTTATACCTTTCATGTATTGTGAGTTCCACCATACTGAATTAAGCAGAATTTCCCAGAAAGGTCCCATGCTTTATTGTCTCCATCACTATTTCTTCTGTCCCCAGGGCCTAGATTTTGTGCCTCACTTATTAAATGGTAAATGATGCATTAAAAATAAATAAATTAATTAATTAATTTATTTATTTATTTTTATCCTCACCCAAGGACATTTTTTTCATTTTTTGTTCAGATAGAGTGGGAGGAAGAGAGAGAAAGAGAAACATCAACGTGAAAGAGACACATCGAGTGGCTGCCACCCACACGACCCAATCAGGGCCGGGGACAAACTGCAACCGAAATACATGCCCTTAGCAGGAGCCGAACCCGGGTCTCTCTGGACCTCAGGCCAATGCTCTAACCACTGAACCAAACCGGCCAGGGCGCATTAAAAATAAATTTAAAGTTGATAGAGTTCAAATAGTAATAGAGGGAGACCTGTTTGTAATCTGTATTTCTCAAACCACACAAGTCTGTAGGTAAAATAAAGTGACAAGAGCCATTATAAAGAAGTATCTCTCTTGCCCAGCTGCTGTGGCTCAGTGGTTGAGCATCAACCCATACACCAAGAGGTCGCTGGTTCGATTCCCAGTCAGGGCACATGCCCAGGTTGTGGACCAAATCCCCAGTGAGGGGCACGCAGGAGGTGGCCAATCGATGTCCTCTCTCATTGATGTCTCTCTCTCATTCTCTCTCTCTCTAAAATTAATAAAGAAAATTTGTTTTTAAAAAAAGAAGAAGTATTTCTTGATGTCCCATATCCTAGTACTCAGGTCTGAGTAAGCTCAGAGGAGGTGAGTCAAAGAACACTTTGTCTCACAGGCTACGTGTTGTTCATATCTTATATCTCCTCTGACTCTAACCAGACCCAGGAACCCAGACTGTCTGCCTTAGGGTGAATTTTTCACCAGGAAAATTTCTAGTTAGAAGTAAAACAGATGGCTGGAAGAACACACAGCCTAAGCTCAAATTGAAACCCTTTCTTCAAGTCATATAATACATTGAAATCCAGAGTAGTTGTCAGTGCTTTGAATTATGGGCTCCAGGTCTTCTTAGTTTCCCTTTGCTGTTGATGTTAGACACTTTCAATACTGCATAACTGTGACATATAAAGAGTGTGCTCCAGAACTTCACTAAATGAAAAATTCGAGCAGCATTGACTTTCAGATGCTCCATAGCAAGAGAAAAGGTGAAAGAAATGAGGAACATAGTAAACCTAAGGAGCAAAATACTTGCATAGCAGATGGTATGTGCCAGGCACTGTTCTATGTGTTCTACACGCATTTATTTATTTAATCTCAACATCTACCTTATAGGACTGTTATATGTTATCTTCATTTTACAGATGAGGAAACCAAGACTCAGAAAGGATAAATAACTTGCTCGGGATCACCAAGCTTTGTTAGAGCCAGGATCCAAATCCAGAGGAATTGGCTGCAGAATCCATTTTATTAACCACCATGTTAATATGTTAATTTCATTCTTGCCATTAAATCATTGTTATTGGAGGTTGATTTATCTGGAAATAATGCCCTTTACCTTTCCAAAATCAAGAATTGCACGGACAAGCAGAATTTTCTAATGAGCTCTCCCTAAAGCTCTGTGGCTCTTCAAAGGACCCCTCCACACACACACACACACACACACACACACACTAATCTCTGGGGCCAATGAGTGAGTGCTAGTAGACCACAAAACATTTGTGTGTGTATGGCAATGATGCTACCAATTTCTGATTATGCAATAATAAAAAGTTTAATTTGATACAATATTTCATTTTTCTAATTTCTCGCAGGAATTATTTTTCCTCACAAAGAGTTTTAGCAATCAAAAACATTTCTTGCCCTGGCCGGTTTGGCTCAGCGGTTAGAGCGTCCGCCTGCGGTCCGGAGAGACCTGGGTTCGGTTCCCGCTAAGGGCATGTACCTTGGTTGCAGTTTGTCCCCGGCCCTGGTTGGTCGTGCGGGTGGCAGCCACTCGATGTGTCCCTTTCACATCGATGTTTTCCTCTCTCTCTCTTCCTCTCTCTCCCTCTCTCTCTGTCAGTACAAAAAATGGAAAAATGTCCTCGGATGAGGATTAAAAAATAAAAATAAAAAAAAAAAAAACATTTCTTTTGTCCAGGAAATGAAAGGACTTTTCTCATCTCAGGACAATTGATGGCTATCAGTATTGGTTTGATCTTCAAATACCTCTGTTTTAAAATAACTTAAATTATTCTTATGTAGATAAGCCCTGCCTAGCTCCCTACCAATCATGAGGTAGGATATCCTGGAAGTCTGGATATTAGCCTGATGGAAAAAGCTGCAGGAAGCTTAGTGGGGATCTGCCCTGGAGAAGATGAATTAGACACACACATATGGGGGCAAAAAATCAATGCAGATTATAATTGGAAAGCCTAAAGTCCAACTCACTACAACAACTGTTGTTATTGTTTTTAAAAAAAATTTTAGGTACTCTCCCAGAATTCCTCAGAAGTGATACATCATCTATTCCTCATGTGTGTAGGGTTTGCATAGCTCTGAAAGCTCATTTGGGGGTAGATGAGTATAAGCTAGTAAATTAGGGAAACTTGGCTTTGTAATACAAATTATAATTATAGGATAATAAGCTCCATTATATCAGTTTGGGGGGAGTTAGAGTGGACTATTCTAGTGAAGACTTTGGCTAATAGATTGCTGTGGCCAAAAGCCCATAAAATACATCAAAAAGGATTTTGGAAGCAAAGCTGAAAATATGTCCCAACTTTTTAAAAATATGATTATGTGTCCTACCGTTTTTGTTTGTTTTTTTGATTCCCATTCTCCCACCCCTGCCCTTTGGCAACCATTGGTTTGTTCTTTATATCTAGGGGTCTATTTCTGTTTTGTTTATTAATTTATTTTATTTTTTCAGATTCCACATATAAGTGAGATCATATGGTACTCTTTCTCTGTCTGACTTATTTTACTTAGTATAATACCCTCTAGGTCCATCCATTCATCCATCCATACTGTCACAAATGGCAAGATTTTATTCTTTTTTATTGCTCAATTATATTCCATTTTATATATATATATATATACATATATATACACACACACATATATATACATATATACACACACACACACACACATATATATATACATATATATATATGTGTTGTTGTTGTTAATCCATTGATTTTTAGAGAGAGTGAAAGGGAGGGAGGGAGGGGGTAAAAGAAAGAAACATTGATGTGAGAGAGACACATCGATTGATTGCCTCCCACACTGGGGATTGAATCTGCAATCCAGGTATGTGCCCTTGACCAAGAATTAAACCGGAGACTCTTTAGTCCACAGGCTGACACTCTAAACATTGAGCCAAGCCGGCCAGGGCACATCTGCTTTAACTATTTATCTACTGATGGACATCTAGGTTGCTTCCATATCTTGGCTATTGCTAATAATGGTGCAATGAACATTGGGGTGCATATACCTTTTCGATTTAGTGTTTTGGATTTCTTCAGATAAATACCCAGAAGTGGAATTGCTGGATTGTATGACAGTTCATTTATTAATTTTTCAATATATTTTTATGGATATTTTAGATAGAGAGGAAGGGAAAGAGAAATAGAAACATCGATCAGCTGCCTCCTGCACACCTGATACTGGGCATCAAGCCTCTAACATGGGCATGTGCCCTGACCAGAAGTCAAATTGACAACCTCTCAGTGCATGGGATGTTGCTCAATCCACTGAGCCACACCAGCTGGGCTATTTTTTTATTTTTTTAGTAATCTCTATACTGTTTTCCATGGTGGCTGCACCAATTTATAATCCCTCTAACATTGTATGCCAGTTCCCTTTTCTCTACATCTTCACCAACACTTGTTATTCATTGCTTTATTGATATTCATTCTGACAAGTGTGAGATATCTCATTGGTTTTTTAATTAGCACTTCCTTGATGATTAGTCACCTTGAGAGTTTTTTCATTTGTCTATTGACCATCTGTATGTCCTCTTGGGAGAAATGTCTATCAGGTCTTCTGACCTTTTTTTTTTTTTTTTTTTTTTTGTGGTATGTGCCCCTAGCAACCAAACCTGAGACTCTCTGGTCCACAGGCCAATGCTCAGCTGCTGAGCCAAACTGGCCAGGGCCTGACCTTTTTTTTTTTTTTTTTAATATATATTTTATTGATATTTTATTTTATTTATTTATTTTTTTGTGGTACATGCTCCTAGTAGGAACCGAACCTGGGACTCTCTGGTCCGCAGGCCGACGCTCAACCGCTGAGCCAAACTGGCCAGGGCCGATTTTTATTTTATTTATTTATTTAAAAAAAATTTTTTTTTATTTTATTACAGATGTTTCTCCTTGGGGCCCATTTTTTAATTGTACTATTTGGGTTTTTGGTGTTAAGTTGTATGAGTTCTTTATATATTTTGGATATTAACCCTTTATCAGATGTATCATTTGCAAATATCTTCCATTCAGTAGGTGGCTTTTTGCTTTGTTGATGGTTTCTTTCACTGTGCAAAAACTTTTAATTTGATGTAGTCCCATTTGTTTATTTGTTTGTTTGTTTCCTTTGCTCCAGGAGCTATATCCAAAAAGATATTGCCTTGGTTGGTTTGGCTCAGCAGTTAGAGTGTTGACCTGTGGACCAGAGAGTCCCCGGTTCAGTTCCTGCTAAGGGCATGTACCTTGGTTGCAGTTTGTCCCTGGCCCCGGTTGGGGTTGTATGGGTGGCAAACACTTGATGTGTCTCTCTCACATCAATGTTTCTTTCTCTCTCTTCTTCCCTCTCTCCCTCCCGCTCTATCTAAAGATAAATGCAAAAATGTCCTCAGGTGAGGGATAAAAAACAACAAAAAGTATTAAGAGCAATGTCCAGCCTGTCCAGTTTGACTCAGTGGTTGGAGTATCGGCCTGCAGACTAGAGAGTCCCGGGTTCGGTTCCCGCCAGGGGCACATACCAAAAAAAAAGAAGTTGCCAGTTTGATTTCTGGTCAGGGCACATGCCCAGGTTGTGGGCCCAGTCCCCAGTGGGGGCATGCAGGAGGTGGCCAATCGATGTTCTCTCTCATTGATGTTTCTGTCTCTCCCTCTCACTTCTTCTCTCTCTAAAATCAATAAAAAAGAAAAATTTTTTAAAAGAGCAATGTCTAGAGTTTGCTGCCTATGTTTTCTTAGGAGTCTTACGATTTCAGGTCTAACATTTGAGTTTATTCATGTATATTATATAAAAAATGTGGTTCAATTTCATATTTTGCATATATCTTTCCAGTTTTATCAACACTACTTATTGAAGAGACTGTCTTTACCACATTGTATAGTCTTGCCTCTATTGTCGTAGATTAATTGGCTGGGGAAGGGAAGATTTATTTTTGGGCTGTCTACTCTAATGCATGGGCAGCAGGAGTCTCTAATGAGCTCTCCTTAAGCTTCTTCCCTCTTCAGCTCTTCAGAGGACACCCCCCTTCACAAACTGATCTCTGGAGCCAATGAATACTGTATCCCAAAGGACTTTCTGATGCCTGATAATATGTTTGTAGTGCAGAAAAACTGTTCTTTACCCTGCCTCCCACAAACCTAATTTTTTAAATTAATTAATTAACTATTTTTTTTTTTTTTAATGGTATGTGCCCCTAGAGGGAACCGAACCCAGGACTCTCTGGTCCGCAGGCCAATGCTCCAACCGCTGAGCCAAACTGGCCAAGGCTAAACCTAATTTTTTTAAATGTATAATATTTAATAATTCAAAAGTAGATATGTAACATATGTAAGTTATGAAACATAATAAATGAACTGCTGTGAACACATCTATGTTTATCTATCTATTTATCTATCTATCTATCTAATCTATCTCCCTCCACTCTATCTGAAGATAAATGGAAAGATATCCTTGGGTGAGGATTAACAAAACAAACAAACAAAGAATTATACCACTACCATTAACACTGCATCTATCTGTGTGCTCTTTCCTTTATATCACCTTTTTTTTTTTTTTTTTTTTTTATCCTCACCCGAGGATACTTTTCCATTTTTTGTACAGATAGAGTGGGAGGGAGAGAGAGGAAGGGAGAGAGAGAGAGAAACATCGACGTGAAGGGACACATCGAGTGGCTGCCACCCGCACGACCAACCAGGGCCGGGGACAAACTGCAACCGAAGTACGTGCCCTTAGCGGGAACCGAACCCGGGTCTCTCTGGACCGCAGGCCGACGCTCTAACCACTGAGCCAAACCGGCCAGGGCTCCTTTATATCACCTTTTTGCCTCCCTCCCACAAAGTGACCATTGTCATAAACTTTCCCTTTTTTTTTTTATTAACTTTTTTTTAGAGAGGGAGAGGAAGGAAGAGAGAGATAGAAACATAAGATCAGCTTCCACCTGCATACCTTCACTGGGGATTGACGCAGGCATGTGCCCTGACTGGGAATCGAACCAGGATCTCTCAGTCCATGGGATGATGCTTAATCCACTGAGCCACACTGGCTGGATGCTGTAACTTTCTTTTTCACTCCTTTACTTTTTCAGAAACAGATTTATAATAAATATGTGCACCTTTAAATAATATGTTGTTTAGATGTGCCTGTTTTGAGATTTATAAAAATAATAATGTATGCAATCTTCTGTAATTTGCTTTTTTACTTAAAGTTTCCAAGATTCACCAATGTTATTGGATGCAACTCTAATTCACTCATTCATTTTTTTTTTAGTGCTTACAATATTTGATTGTGGACTATGTCAC